CGCACTTGGCTTTGCTCATGAGCAAACTCGTCCAGACAGAGATCAATACGTGCGCGTTTATTATGAAAACATTATACCTGGTTTCATATTACTTCTGTGCTATTTCTTTTAACTTAATTTAGTCTATTACAGGAGAAGAACACAACTTTGAACGGTATGCTACAAGTCGAATAGAGACTTTCGACGAAGTCTACGATTACGGTAGGGAAGATAAAGCTACTTGAATAAATATGACCATCATTCTCATTTTGATCTTTATCTTTAAACATAGGCTCCATCATGCACTATAAAAATGATGCGTTTACAAAAAATGGTCTACCTACAATTAGACCTATTATGCCTGGCTACGAAGGCTGGGAGCAGTATATGGGCCGTGGTGATCACATGAGTGATCGAGATGTCAAAAAACTCAAGTTGTACTATGGTTGCTCCTTAAAATAGAACAGCTGATACTTTTTATTGTATAAAAAAAAGACAATCCTAATTGTTGAAGAGATTGTGTAATAGTTTGAAAACGAAAAGCTTCTTACTTGAAAAACTTCAGAGTATCGAATTAATGTTTTTACTCTATTAAGTAAATCTAACGACGAATATGCTAGTCTGCTGATGTAGTCCGTTATGTATTGACACAATCAGATATTACGGATTATTATTTTTTGTTTGTACGTCAGCATAAAACAGGTTAAACTTGAAAGGTATGTGTATTTTTCAACTGAATATTTAGTCTATTTCCAACTGCCTTGTGCTTAGGCAGCTACAGACTTTGGAAAATGCGTTTCAATGAAAAAATACAAATTTTCGACAATAAAATACGAGTGCACAAGAAACAATGTTCAAAATTTACTACAATATCTAAAAATTTGCATGTGTTCATAATAACATATAGTTTTACTTAACTTTCTTTCCGTTATAATACGCATACAGTTTCATTCTTGAGTAATTTAACCACTTAAGAGCATTTGCACGCTAGAGACGATCCAAAAGTAAATCGTGTACTCAATCGATGGCACGAATTTCAATCAAATGTTGTCACTATACAGTCTTAAGTAAAATGTGAAAAAGTTTAAAATTTCAGCTTCTAAAATTGTTGCCTTGTGGAGATATTTAAAATACAATAGAGGCCTTCTTGAATGGCAAATGAGTACATCCAAAGTGGTACTCATTCATTGTGTATCTCGTCATTATCGAGACAGTAATACTTTTAATCATGATATATTGTGGCTTTATGCTATCGTTGGCACTCTACATACTAACATACCAAAACTAATTTTTTTGGAAAATACAAAACAAAATGCCCTTTTCAGATCAATATTCACAGTATTTTGTCATTTTGCTCTGATTAACTTGACGAAAATGAAATCAGAATTAGTACATATTGGAGAGCTCGTCGAATTCCACCTGGGTGGTACATCAAATAGAAAGTTGAGTCCAGTAGTACAGTCAATCATGTTGGACAATACTCAAATTCTATCCTAAGATATTCTGTGTTCTCAATTGTTGAATAATAAGTTCAAAATAAAGAGAAAAAAATAGAGGTTAAATTATGTTTACAATGTAAGCATAATTATTGATTAATTTGATGTAGTGATAAAATCTACACTAAAAAAATAGTTCTTACCTACTTACGCTTCATTGTATTGACGGCATAAAGCGATTCAAAATGAAGATTTCCCTATCGCTCTTGATCTGCATAATTGTATTCCATCACTTCCGTAATAGTTTCACAAAACCGAACATACGTTGACCGTATAAGAGGGTACACGATGACATACGATCGTATGCGGCAATTGTATATTTTCATATGCATAGCAGCGATGTTTATCTATTTATCTCTTCGTACTCTTTTAAGAACTGTATATAGATTCCGTTCCTAGTCATTTCGTTCCGAATACGCTTATCGTATACGGAGACCGTTTATGAGTATGAATATTCGACCTATAGTAGTGGAGGATGGCTTTGCAGCGTCATATGAGGTATTAAAGATATATTTCACAGGTAATGTAATAATCACAAAAAGCAAAACAAGACACTTCAAATACCACTGATTTTCGTTGAATTTGACAAGTTCCCATTGTCAGATATAATCGGATCTAATGGACGAAATCCGATGGTATTCAACAGTTGAGAATCATCAGAAATTAAAGAATGTTGATGGTTTTTGCCTGTTGAACACGATCGAATACAGACTGTCGAATATTATAAGATATTTCAAAAATCCCATCCGATTCGACTGGGGGACTTCGATCTGAGAAATCAAATATCTAACCTGAAACGGCAACCTACGGATACTGCACACATTTTTGATGACACAGAATGAATAGAGATGTAAGAAAAACGAAACCATGAGACTAAGAAAATATTCACAGTTTTCATTGCTACGGTCAGAAAAGTTTTACATGAAAAGGAAAAAATCACATCACTCATATGCATAATTTTTTTTTTATCAAAGCAACAAAACACATCTTCCAAGAATCGCCATGAACAGCAGAATAACAAAAACCTCATACTAAGAATTGACAGATGAATATATACGTGCTTGATCAATTGTTAATGGTAAAAGATTGTTATTTTATCTTCGGCATTTTAATATGAAAGGCGTAGCAGTCAATATACATCAAAAGAAATACATCTATATATAACACTCAATTTGATTTCTGTAGCCGATTCATCATCACGTTGTTATTAATTACGCTTATACATATTTTTTAGCACGGATAATTTTTGCTTCATATTGTGTTTTGCTCCAGGTGCATATAACCAAGGGGAGAGGAAGTAAATGGACAATTGCCCATTACATTTGGAGATTTACCCATTGAGATTTTACTTTTTCGGAATCATTTATTTATTTTTGAATTAGATAGTAACTGTACTTTTTTTCTTCCACCTGACTCGTACATGCACTCTTTGTTTGTTCTTTCTGTGAAGAACTATAAAAAGAAGAATCACTTCTTGTATTTTAACTGTAAGTTTGGGTGAATGTGAGTTCGATTTTATTGGGCAAATATTAACCACGTAAAGGTAGAGAAAGATAGATCAAAGAGAACAAAAACAAGAGCATAGAGCAAGAGAACATACACGAATATATAGGGTGTAACAAAAACATTACATACCTCTCTACAACTTAAAGTATAAATGATACCACAATGTATTTTATATCAAATTAATGTTCATAAAAAACTGGATGTAAGAGTGTAATTAGAGCAATTATTACCTATGATATTATTGAAATGTCTTGAATTATTTGAGAAATTACACTTTTACTTCACGATTTTCATTCTTCATGTAGATGTTTTCACAGAAAATAATAGCAGATTCGTAATGTCCATCAAAAACTGAATCTATAGACATGTCGTTTGTATATTTTCTGACGAAAAAAGTTCTGGAAGGTATCCTATGACAGTTCTTTTATAGACTCGATATTATAAAATCTATGGCTTTTTTTATGCTCAAACGATCTCGTATACTGCAGTTTTTGATTTTTTTATTACATTTTTTAGCAAGCCTAATATCAAATTGGTGATCTTCATCAAAGACTTCGTTCACTGATGTTTAAATAGAGATATTTCAGTTCGACAATTTTTTTCCTAGAGTATTAACCAGGATTTTTCAACAACTGTTTTTTTTCGTCAAAGATATACAAATGATATGTCTATAGATTCAGTTTTTGATAGAGATTTACAAATCTGCTGTTATTTTTTATGAAAACATCTATATGAAGAATGAAAATCGTAAAGTTAAAGTGCAATTTCTCAAATAATTCAAGACATTTCAATAATTTCATAGGCAATAATTGCTCTAATTACGCTCATAAATCCAGTTTTTGATGAACATTAATTTGATAAAAAATACATTGTGATATCATTTATACTTTATGTTGTAGAGAGGGCGTAATGTTTTTTTTTACACCTCTTATATGTGTAGATATGCTTATATATATCCTGTCGAAGTTACACTGGTCGACAAAGTTATAATTTCCACTCTCATAGTTATCGAAGTTGTAACTTCGTCAATATCACACGATGAAGTTATAACTTAGGCTTAAGATCTGAGCTTGATGTATACTTGATTAAAAGAACCTCATTTCATTGTTTTGTGTTTTTTTTACGTTATCAGTGCTTTGTTGGACCAAAAAATGTTTGGTCTATCAATAAAAATCTTGCTCATTTCGTCCGTCGCTTTTCCGACGCAAGAGAAGTTTGCCCATTCGTCTAAAAATCCTGGTTACGTTGCTGTTTTGCTCAAATATCTCACTTCATAATATACTTACCAGCCTACTCTGATTGCATTCAAACAGTTGCTAAGCCGTTAGTTTAAAGTAGTAAGTCTGATTTATACTAATGATCAAAATATGGACGTGACCAAAAGAATCTTTAGATACAATTTCAGAAAAAGACTTCATGAGTAAATTTTTCTCATCTGGTTCATCGGAATATATTCACTTAGATAGCAGCGCCCTCACCATCCTTACGCAGTGCTATGCATATAAATCACACCAATCATTGTAAACATATGATTAAAGTAAAGAGAGCGCATAGCTTAAAGCTTATCTAGCTTATTTTTCCCTAATGATGTTCTTTCTATCATTTTCCAGATGATAGCAAAAAAATAGATTCATTAAAGAGGATCTATGAATACTTTTTGATTGGTTATATCTGTAATTGTTTACTGTGATAGTATGCTATAGCGCCACCTAATGTATCACTGTTTATGTGATAATAGCGACATGCTCAAGAGAAAAAAATGATGTAGTTGTTTTGTATTTAAAATTCTTCGGTGTCGATGTCGTTTTTCTTCTTTTATTCTCTCTTTTCAACCGTCTCGTTTGATTTATATTTTAAACATCGTTGAGGTCGTGTATTATGTTCAAAAAAGTGACAACGAAGAACGCATAAAAATAAACGTACGTTAACCATCATTGGTTTTTGCACGATTAACGTTGAACTTTGCTTATCTCTAATTTGATTTATATTTGTTTATATACATTAGATATTCAAACAAGCATGAGCGAGATAAACATTGAATCTTCTACAACTGGTTTGTTTTATTTCAAATTTTCCATTCAGTTTAAAGAATTTATATTTTTCATATATAGAATCCGTTGTAATTTTATCTGAAGCATCATCAACACCAACACTTTCTTCTACTTCATCTTCAAATACGGTTGATGATGAAGCAAGACGACGTAAAATCTTGAGTAAATTATGGGGCAAGGGTAATAAATTATCACACAAAGTACGAGAACTTGATAAAAGTACGATTAGTAATAGCAGTGATTCATTCGTTCATAATGATAATGAACAAAAACAATTAGGTGAAAATCCTAATAATCACTTAGCGTATTCTTCGACGAACGATCCCAAATCATCCATAGAAGATAGTTCGAACAGTATTAATAGTAGTAAACCATTGGCCGTTGTGAAACCGATTGTTGTTAAATCGGGTCTTATCGTTTCTTCGTCTACTGATCGAACACGATTAAATAGTGAAGCATCATCAACAACTATCACACAAATAGATGAGATCACAACAATAACAGTGACTGAACGACTAGCATCATCGACAACAACCGATCGAACATCAGATAAAAAGAAAAAAAGTCACAAAAATAAAGATTTAAAAAAGAAGAAAACAACAAAAGATCAATCAGTAGAACGTGATCGATTACATCATCATCACCATCAAGTAATTTAAATATAATAAATCATTTATTTCCAATTAATATGAATTTCTTATTTTAGACAGATAAAACTAAAAAAAATAGTTCATCATCGAAAAATAATCGACAAGAACAAAACGAAGAAATATCGACTAACGATAATAATCACAAATCTTTACATCATCATTCATCGTCAACAATTTCTTTATCTAAAAATAATCGTCGGTCACCATCCGATGATATTCATCACGCAAATCGACAATCAAGTCGATCAACAACATCAAGAGTATATTATTATTATCAATCAAACTTCTATGAGTCTCGAATTTCTTTTTTATATATATATTTTCAGAAAGACGAATTTTCATCTGCAAAGAGATCAACATTATCACCAGTTGATCATCATCGTAATCATTCGAATTCGAAATATGAAAGTAGTAGTCACTATAATTATTCTTCTCATCGTCATCGTCGTGGATCATCAGTAACATTGTCTCCATCACCGCCATCAAGATCTCATCATTCAACATTAAATAAAGATCAATTACAAAGAAAAAATTCTTCATCACCTAAGGTTCATTTCATTTTCATATTTATTATCTTTTTCTAATCTTTATTATTTTAGAAAGATGAACGTAATTCGACTATACAAATAAAATCAAATCGACAACAAAGTGAATCGATTTCGAATAGTAAATCAACAAATACATATTCACCTTCTGATTTATATTCCAAACCACGTCATCGTCGTTCAGACACAACTGGTGATGATGATACTCATCGATATAAAACACGAGTATCTATCTTTTAAAGTAAATATTTTTAAAATATTTTTTTTTTTTTTTTATTTTCTAATAGACAAGTGATGAAAATTTGACAAATTCTTCTAAGTCACAAAAATCATTAGAAACATCTCCTGAACATCATTATCATCGTTCATCATCATCTTTTGTCAAACAAGAAAAATCGAAAACAATACAAAATAATGATAATAAAAATGAATTAAATCAAGAAAAATCATATTTATCACGACATGAACGACGAAGTTATAGTCGACATCGTTCAAAATCAAAAGAAAATAAAACAAATCGAAAACCAATCGAACCATCAAGTTCCGATGATGGTTCTAATCATCAACATAAAGCAAACAATGAAAAAAATTCTACAACAAGTATTATTTCTTATTTTCATAATAATTCATCATATTGATATATGATTCTTTTCGATTTATTTCTCTAGTCAATGAAAATTTTCATATGGATAAAAAATCAAATCATCAATCGTCTATTCCATCATCAAACAATGATCATCGAAGAAAATCTTCTTCAGATTATCATCGATATGATCGTCATGATTCACCTTTAAATTATGATCGAAAAAATGATTATCGTCATCATCATCATCGAATTCCATCTTCTCATTCATATTATCCACATACTCATTATGTTCATCATCATCATCATCATCATTATCGATCTAAATCATCCAGATATTATGATCGTCGTCGTTCAATATCTCCTCGTTCTCATCAACATCGATCAAGATATTATTCTTCAACATCTTCATCATTATCTCCTTCACCTCGTCGTCGTCGTCGAAATTCAAGTCGAACATCATCTTCAACATCTCGTAGTTCATCATCTTATTCTTCTATATCTCGAACATCATCATCACGTTCATCATCAAGACATAATCATTATTATCATCATGAGAAAAAATTTCGTCGTTCACCAACACTTGAAAAAATATTTCTTAAAGCATCAGAATCAATTGAATCAATATCTACACAAAAAAATCCAAATATATCATCATCATCATCATCAACTCATTTAATACCAATTCAAACATCAAATATTCCTTCTGATATGCAAATATCATCAACAATAAATTCTCTTTCAGAAACAAATACATTCTATTCAGAGAATTTTACAGGATTTTCTATTCCACCACCTCCATTTATATCACAACCACAACAACGTTGTTTGAAAGAAATAACAACTGAACCAACAACCCAATATCGTCCGGTATTAAATGAAGTTCAAACAATTCAATCATCTACTTCAATAACTCTTGATGAAGTAATACCAATAAAAACTGTTCAATCAAATGACGTTTCAAGCAATGGTAAGATTTTCTTTTTTTTTTGTTTTGTTTTAATAATAAATAATTTCCTATAAACATTTTTAGTTCGTTCTGGTTCAAGTAAACCACCACGAATATCTCGATTTTCTGATATAGCACCATCAGTTACATCTGAACCAATATTAAATACTAATTTACCTGTTGATACATATTTAAATTATACTCAAATAAATGAAAATATCAATTGTTTACCATCATCACGTCGTCAACAAAAACGTCATAATCGTGAAGTAATGGAATGTGAATGTACAACAAGTGAATATGATCGTTCTCGTGGTGTAAAAGCATGTGGACATGAATGTCTTAATCGTATGTTATTAATTGAATGTGGTCCAATATGTCCATGTGGACAATGGTGTACAAATCGTCGTTTTCAACGACGTTCATATGCAAATCATAAATTAGCTTTATTTAAAACAGAAATGAAAGGTCATGGATTACGAACAATAACACAAATACGTAAAGGTCGTTTTCTTGTTGAATATATTGGTGAAGTTATTGATATGGATGAATTAGCACGTCGAAATAAAAAATATAAACGTGATGGAAATACACATCAATATGTTATGTCATTAATACATGGAACAGTAATTGATTCAACAATAAAAGGTAATTGGGCTAGATTTATTAATCATTCATGTGAACCAAATTGTGTTGCGGAAAAATGGCTTGTTAATGGTGAATATCGTATGGGAATATTTGCTAAACGTGATTTAAATATAAATGAAGAAATTACTATTGATTATCGTTTTGAAACATTTGGTACAAGTGATTTAACAAATGAAAAATGTTATTGTGGTGCATCAACATGTCGTGGTACAATTAGTATTAAAAATAATAATAATAATAATTTAAATCAACGACAAAATCGTCGACAACCATTAGATGATGATGATATACTTAATTATTTACTTGATGATGATACAAATGAATATATTATACCAAAAACAATTGATGATGTTCGTCAATTAATACAAATAATGTCAAGAACAGATAGTGAAAATGTTCGAACTATTGAATTAGATCTTATTAAAAATAGTTCACAAAAACAATTTGCATTACCAAGATTATTTTTAGAATGTGATGGTTTACATGTTTTATGTTCATGGATGAAAGATATTTTAATTGATGATGATGAACAACAATATTCAAATGAATTTAAATATCGTTTATTAGATTTTATTCATTCTGTTCTACCAATTAAAGATCGTACAACTGTTATTAAAAATGGTTTACTTGATTTAGTTTATAAAAAATTAAAATTATCAACACCAACAACAGATAATATTGATAATAATGATCAAGAACAAATTAATAATTTAATGAATTCAATTCTTAATCATCTTGATGATCCAATTATATCGAAACTTTTGTAAGATTTATTTAGTTTATTACTCACTTGAGAAAAAGTCTTTCTCTCCTCTCTTCCATTCCTTTCGTATCGAACTACTTTAATCTCATGTGAATGTTGATTACAAAAAAAATGATTTAAGTACTGAATTTTAGTATAGTGCATAATTGATTATGGCCTGTTTCAATGAAGAATTGTAGGTCATTCAATACAATCGATCAACACTATAAATGAATTGGTTGATAGAATACTTCATGACTGTGTTCTCTCTTTTTTTATTTCTATAGATATTTCCTGAATGTTTTCCTAGTTTTACTTTATTTGTATTTGTGTAATCGTCTATATAGCATTCTCGGCAGAGTTTTGTATCGGTCACAAAAAGAGTTTAATAATCTAAAGTCAGTGAAACAGTTAGCAGAGACAAAAAAAAAAGGAAATAATTTCATAGTGAAAAAATCATGTGTAACGATTCATTTGTCGTGTTGCTCAACTATATTGAAAGACGTATATTCTTCACTGAAGTAAATTATCATAAATCATACACATTCTTGTAAGTAACATTCACTTGAGACCAAAAGTGTTCTAAACAAAAAGAATAAGAGGAGTGAGAAATGCGTTTTGTCAAAGAATGTATATTGAATAAAACAAAATTCCCTTTTTTTTTGTTTTATAGTCATCTTTATTCAACATGGATGTCATTAAAAGAACGTTATATTATTCCAAAACGAAAAGAACCAGAACAACCATTAAATCATCATCATCGTCATCATCATCATCATCATCATCATAGTTCAAAATATCAATATGAAGAAACTAATTCTCGATTTAATTTTAGTACACGTTCATCAGAAATACAACAAAAACCAAATGATCGTTCTTTTGGAAGACGTTCATTTGTTGTACGAGAAACTCCACGTACACAAGAACAACAATTATCAAAAGATGAACGAAGAAAATTATTTGAACAACAATATGAAGATGCAGAAAAAGTAATAAATTATTATTATTATTTTTGCATTATAAAGAATTTTTGTTTTTGTTGTCTCTGAAGGCAAGAGTAGTGGCAGCAGCTGCAGCAGCTAATGAAGAAAGTCCAGGTTTGATTCTTCATTTTTTAGTAATTTTCAAACATATTCTTGTAATAAATTTAGGAGTACAAAGTGAACCACCACAGAAAAAACAACGGACATCCGATAATACGGAACCAATGGTTCCAAGTACTCCACCTCAACCACAATCTTCATCAATGGTATATACATTTTAAAGAAAAAATTATTTTTGTGCACTTATTTGTTTTTCTTTTTCTATTTTAGCCCACTACCATTCCTTGGATATTTTCATCGAATGCTGTATGTTTATATTATATCAATTTTCTTTTCAAAATCATATTTCTATTTTTCTTTTAGATCTATCCACATCAAATAGATCAAACATTTTGGATTCATCAACATTTATCACAAATTCCAATTGATTACATTCGTTCATATATGGCTTCTATTGGTATGAAAGAAAATAAAAATAAATTCAATTTGATTTTTTTTCTCTTTTTTTTTGTTCTAGGCCAACCAATTTCAGTATCAAATGCTTCGGTAAGTTGAAAGAATGTTAATTATTAAATTTTTAATTTTAATTTATTGTTTTAGATTGATAAAGATGAACCACCTCTTCCTCCACCACCGAAACCTGATAATGAAAATGAATTATCACGTATTACTTATTTACCATCGGGTTGGTCCGTTGCGATGTGTCCGTCAGATTCGTCAATTTATTTTTATAATCGAAAAACAATGGCTACTAGTTGGATACCACCGTCATTGACAGTTCCTATCGAAAACTCTGTTTCACTTCCACCACCACCTCCTCCACCTCTTGATTTAAGTCCACTTTCATCGGCTCAAATTCATGAACAACGTCGTCCACATCATGATCAACAACAAGTTTCTTCATCATCTCGTTCATCCATGAAATTATTAAAACAAGCTCATCGTCACAGTCGTAGTTATCGACATCATCATCATAATATGAGCATTAACAATAAACGAAAACGACCTGTAGCAGTTGAATCTATAACTATTGTTAAAGAAGAACTTCATTCACAAATGAAAGAAGAAACATCAATCATTATTTCAAATGAACAGTTTAAACAAGACGAAAACAATGATAAAAATTCGGTAGTAGAACATACCGAAGAAATGTCTGTTGATGTTCCAAAAGTATCTACTGATGGATACAATGAAAATAATGTGTCAATAACAGTGAAAGAATCTTCTGAAATAAATGATAATGTTGACAAACAACATTCTTCAGATTCTAATACATTATCATCTTCATCAAAAATAAATCGTGATCTTCTTCGTAAAAATATTTCTCAACATGTTCATGCTACATTAAAACCATATACAAAACGAACATGTAAACAAGGACGTATTGTATCAACTGATGATATTAAATATCTTGTTAAAAAATTTACATTAGCTGTACTTGATAAAGAAATTGAAAAAGCTAAAAATGATGGAACTTCATTATCACCAGTATTAACTGACCGTGTACGATTAAAAACAGAAGTTTATGTTAAAAAATATATGAATAAAATGGGCACTGTTTTTCAACGACATGATACAACTGTTCATCCTCCTCCTCAACCGTCACAACAAACAACAACAACAACATCAAACCCAGAATAAAAATTTCCAATCCTACTCTTAATTACTCAAGGAACTGAAACATGTATTTTTTTTTTCGTTTTTGTCGCTCTTTGTCCATCTCAGATATCTGCATGTGTTTTTCTGTAATTGAAAACTTGCACTACCTTTTCTTCTTTTTTTTTTCTTCTTCAACTCTTGTTGTTTACTTGCGATTTTTTTGTGCGTATCATGTTTGTATTTCTTGTTGTATAAGAACAAAACAAACAAAGAGAAATAGTTTGAAATTAATTCAGACTTTTGTCTTAGTTTTTATAATTTCGTAGAATCATTAGATATATAGATAATTATATATGAAGTTTAGTTAAAAAGATGAATCAATTTTAATTGAAAAATTATCGAAAAAAAAAATATATATATATATGACCGAAAAATAGTACACATATACCAATCGTATATAGAAAGTTTTGTATGAACATTTTTGTATTAATATATATTCCCGTACTTTATCGGAATTTGATTGTATTGTGTCACGATAAAGGATATGTGAAGAAATTTTGTTTCATAAACACTGTAGACTTTGTGATGACTGAGCAATTAATCTTACGTATGAATACTACATGTCAGACGATAAAATAAAAAGCGATGAATAAGAATATCTGATTGTTACGACATGTATTTGATCATTAGGGATGAACGCTTTCGATAGCAAAAAAAAATTGAACCTGTCGATTTCATTACGATTCTATTTCAATAATTTTTTTTTAAAGTTACTATTTCTTCTCAAAAAAAGATAAATTTCAAACGAAGAATACATATGTATTCATTTCCAATTGCCTTTTTAGTCATACTTGCAAACGTTTAAAAAAGTCATCATGATGAATATTTACTTCATCATTATTCTTGTTTTTGAACAATATTATTTTTGTCATCATCAATACGATTCTTTTGATTTTTGTTCATTCCTAATTCACTATTGTACATGGATGTTGTAGTCGACAGTTAAGAAGACGATTTCGATTCCGATAGAATTCCAAACCGAAAAATGTCGATTTTGTCCATGTCTAATGGCGATGAATGACGACGTTGAATAGTCAAAATTCTTATTTGTTCACCGTCAGAAACTTAGTCATTGGAACCATGGCGAAAGAAAATCGTTTCATTGATTGATAATTAGCATCGTTCTCGAAAAGTAAATGACAATCATTAAGATCAAAAATCAAATAAATTAATGAGATTTTGTTTTTGTAGAGTATTGATAAAAATCAATCAAATTTTTATTCATATACAGCTACGTTTTTCATTATTGAGAAGTGATGAATTTCTCATTCAATAGAAATATTTTTATAATGCTATTCTTCTTGAGTACAATTTATTCAAGTAGATTGTTATTTGTCTCTATGACATTCTTGTAATTTCTGTATTGACTATTTCAATTTCTGTCGACGGTCGTATGTCATCAAATGTAACGGATTTTTGATAGAAATGAATTTCAATACTATCATTTCACATTTTCATCTAGTGTTGTAAATATCTTTTTAATATTAGGTGTCGAATCGCATAATTTTATTATGCCATCGACAAAAGTGTCGTAATGTCAACATGCTGTCGTATCGATTCTCCCTGTATGATAGATACTTACAATAGAGTAACACATAGCATTGTAAACGAAATTTAAAAAATGAAAAGTAAACAATCGACAGTCTTTCTTCGTTTTCGTCGTTGAAATTGCTCAGCTCGGAGTGACAGAATCCATGTACAACAGTAAAATGGATCTTCGCTTAACTGAAATAATGTGTCATAAAAAAAATTACTATTCGACATCTCGAAGACCATCAGCATTGAAACAACTACTAAATCAATAAAATCACTCTTTCTCAATTTACTTCTTGATATATGAATTTAAAAAAAAATTTCAATGAAATCATCTCATATGTGACGAATCAACTGCTATTCATTTATATACAATGAAAATCAAAGATCAATACTATTGTTGACTAATTAAATGAATACTGCGCGGTCAAGTCGGTATTCTTTCTTACTGTTCTGTTCAAACAACCATCATACTAAGCTAAAACAGTTCAGGCAATGTGTCAAGGCAGATTTTCACTCAATACATCATCAAGAAGTGCAGCATACATGATGGACATTTTCATTCTAAACTCTACCATTTGAAGTATTTGAACAACTAAACTGTTACGGAACAATTAATAAAAGAATTCTTTTTTCTCATTTGTAGTTCTCAATGGTCAAAGTATGAAATCATATTCGTACTATCAGATGAAAGATGAAAATTTCTTTCATTTGTACTTCATTTCGTAATAGTAATTAAGGTCCAAGTTAGAAGTGACCTAGAGATTATTCACTTGACTTGAAGTAACTAAAGTATTTATTCGTCTTGTACTATCCATTCGATAATATTCAATATAATCATGATATTTATAAATTGTTTGTTATTTTCCGAAATTTTCGATTGGATTAAAACTTTGGAAATTTATTTGGAAACGAATGTTCAACAAATGAAATGCATATTAATTGTCATTCTTCTTATTATGTGGCAAATTTTCGCATTTCCTTTCAAATCGATGAATCATAAATGTACTAGCTTCCTATTTTGTTAGCCTAATGTTGATTCGATCGTAAAATTATCGATAGATATCACATGCTCGTTTTTTGGAGGAAGCCCATGAATAAGTTCGAAAAAGATGGTACATTTTTTTGGATTTCGTCCAACATACGTTGATTAGCAGTACACAAAGATAGTTGATTTCGGTCTTTCGACTCCTAATGTATACTCTCACTGATGAAATTATTCGCAAAGACGAAAGTCCTAAGACTAGATTAAACACTATAAAAACTTGATTGATTGATTGAAATATTACTTGCTGTTTCCGATATACATATATATATATAAATTCTGACAGAATTACATAATGTTCTACGAGAAATGATTTTTTTTTATTGATTTTATATATGAATATATCATTTTTATAAAAGTAAATTTCTTTACATTCAAATTGACTTCGTTGACTTATGTCAACGTTAACTCTTGATTAGTTCTCGATAAAACAAAGATTGACTACACAGATTGAAATCTATATCATTTGCGCATTATTACAGATCTTTTTAACAGTACTCAGAATCCGATTCGTATATCTTTTTATAAAATTGAGCGAACAAGAAGTAAGCTCGATTAATAAATGATATCAAAACATTTTTCATGCAGAAGAAAACATCAAGTTTTCAATGCCACGCTTCCTACTAATTACTGTGAAATCATTCAAATAAAGTGAATTTTTCTCAAGATCTCAGCTTAGTTTACCATTCAAACAACTCTTTCACATTAAGTAGTCAGAAGCTTCTTACAATCTGAAATCTAAAGAATATCTACAGAATAGATCTTTTTTTTTCGTTATACATCGTGGTAATTTTCTAGAAATTTTTCTTTTTCGCTACCATTTATTATCGGATCTTTCTTGAACTGCAACAGACAATCCAAGAATTTGTAGTTTCTTAAATGCACACTTTTCTTAAAGAGACGACAGTTACAATTGATGGTCTTCGAAGATTAACAACAGTCAACAGTACAACTAACATCACCAATCATTACTAAATAACTAAAATGCTAACATATATTTTCAATATCATGTTCATGTTGTTTGTTTTAGAGTAATATCAATATTTTCATCGTTTTTATTATACTATTTGTTAATAGTTTTCTCTGTTATCTATATTTATTTATTTGTTTGCTGATAAATCTCTTATTTATATAAAATATACTTAATGAAAAACAAAATCTATCTCATTAAATTCAGTTAAAACTACTTTGAATATTTACTGTATGTGATTGACTATTCGATAGATAGTGATTATTTGGTTCTCTGACCTTCTATAATCTCATGTTAAAACATAAATATGAATAAAACAACGAAACGCTTAGTTCAATTATATACGCAGAAATCAAAATGCTAATGTTCATGTTTTACTAATCTTTGTTATCTATGCTAATAATTAATATTTTCACACATTTTTATTTTCATAATTAAAATCGAAGTTAAGAATTCTTGCCTTGAATGACATATTTTTAAACATGTCAAAAAAGAAAACAACATGACAAATAGTTTATTATATCATCTACTAATTCATTTTTGACTTATCTCAGTATATGTTAACATGAGAATTAGGATCATTCAGAAAAGAAATCTAACTTTGGTTTTGTTCAAAATGTTAACCTACAAATGTAATAAACTTTATGATTACATAGCATCTATCTATTTTATCGAGACATTGAACTAAGAAAAATTTTCTGTAAATACTTTATCGAGATAACTTTATACTAAAAAAAAACCAATGATTTTTGTCTATAATTTTATTGAAAATCTAATTTTTGTTTCAAAATCAAAAATTTCTTTCGATAAAATTAAATACCTAATAGATATTCTATTTTAATTTTTAAAATAAGAATATAATTATACAACACATCTGAATCACGTATAAAATCAACTATGAATATTTCGTGAAATCATATTATATCTAGATGTGCATTTCTCTTGTTGTTTTTTTTTTTTTGTCATCGACAAATCAGTTTGTTGTTTTTAATGGTATACATTGATATGTACACTCTATGCTGATAATTCTCCGTTCTTGTTTGTACAAAAACATGTTCTATGATTTTCTCCTCGAAACGAAACCACATAATCCATTATTCTTCCATAAAGAAAATAGAACGAGAAAAGAAAGATATTCATATATTTGAGATTATCGCGTGTTCGATTGAATCGATTATTTATGATAAGGAATCAGCGAAACGAAATGCTGGCACAGTTCCAGGTTTAAATGTTTATTTTTATTTTTATTGTTTTTTTAAACATTTTTATAAAATTTAGTCTCGTACTGCAATATTCAATGCAGAAGAATCTATGAAAATTCTTGAACAATTTCAATGGAATTGTTTGGTAAATTTTTATTGATTTTAAGTTTTTCTTGATTTTCTAATGCCTTTAAAAAAAATGTTAGGAAGCTATTAACTATGTACTTAAAAATGTTGATTCTGTTAAACAAAAATCATCGAATTTGGTTCACAATATTATTCCACTATGTCTTAGTGTTGTTGATCAATCACTCAGTAGGTGGATATGTACTTTTTCATTTCTTTTTCTCATTTTGTATTTTTGTCTAGTTCCAAACGAATGTCTAAATGAATTAGATGGTGTTCATCATTTTGAGCGAGCATTTCAAGATCGTCATTCTGATGTTCATCGTTGGCCAATATGGTTTAAATCATCACTTGAAAATGCTATTAGTCAATCAGTGAATATTCTTTTTTTTTTTCAAATGTTTATTTTGTATTTATGATTTTTTTGTTTAGCATGGTCCATTCGCTGTTTTTCTTAATCACGATAAATCTGCTTATGCTATAACATTTTCTCGTCAAATTCTTTGTTCATCATCTATTTTAAATGTTCTTCAAAAGTATAAATGTATTCTATGGCCGTGGGATGTGACTTGTCCATTGAACAAACAACGGTACATGCTTAAAACTAGATATATGATTGTCATATACTTGTTGATTATTATTTTCATTTGTAGACTTATTCAAAGAAGTGGACGTGCTCGACAAATTCTTGTTGAATGTCTTTCATATTTTACAAATGTTGATAATTATCCTTTATTACTTTTGCTTAGTCGTCAAAAAGATAAAATTGTACTTCTTGATATTATCAATGGACATTGGGATTTAGATCAAACACGAGCTTGTCTCGAACGAACACTTAATCCAATTCTTGAACAATCTATTATACCTATTAATGAAGTAAATGTTTTACTTTTTCTTGTAATTCAAATTTTTACTATTGATTTTTTCAATAATAGCCAACAACACTTTCACCAGGTTGGGTTGGTGGTCGTACAGCAGGTAATATTCGTCGTCGTACTTCTTTCATAACAAGTAATAATATATTCTAGTTGTTATACTTAAAAGTTTATTTTATTTTATTTTTATTTTTAAAGCATTTCGTCTAAGTCGACCTCTTCGAGCTGTTCAACGACCTTATTATGTTTCATTTTATCAAAAAGATGAAGATATATCAGAAAAGATTGTTACCATGGAAGAAGTTAAACAATGGTTAAATAAAAAAAATACAACTATTTCTACTTGCAATTCTATTCCAGTAAAACATCAACAGTGGTAATTTATAATGTTGTTGAGAATATTCTCGTTAAAAATTTTGTTGTCTTTATTACATAGTTATTCAACAAATTCATCTTGTGTTCAAACAAAATCTCCATCACCAAAAGGTATCATATCACCTAGTCCATCGTTATCCATTGCAGTAAAAGATCAATATTCGATTGTGTTTATGTCACCACGTCGAGCTGGATGTAAATGTTTTTATACTTTATTATATAAGTCAAAATATTGATGTTTTACTTTTTTTTCTAGGGGCACCATTAATCAACCGTTGAGACTTTTGATTTATCGAATGTATATTGTTGTGTTCCTGTTTTGTTCTTGTCTATACATTTCGTAGTAAACATATTGTTTTTTGATATCTGAATAGAAAGAAGATATGTTTTAATTGTTCTATTTTCTTCTAAATAATTGACTTTATTAAGTTGAACATATTAATATTCAATGTCTAATTATTTCAATATAGAGAATAGCTTTAAGTGATGTTATAGGATTTTCTAAGAAAAGGTAAGTGAATGTTCATTCGATGGATCATAATTATGTCTGCTACAAAGCCACAAACACGAACACTTCTTACTAGTCGACAACGAACAATTCGGATTGAGTTCTATAATAAAAATCCTTATCCATCATTGAGTGAACGTCATCGACTTGTTCAATTGACTGATCGAACATCTAAACAAATTCAAGATTGGTTTTCTAACCGACGAGTAAGTGTATTTACTTATTAGATTTGTTTTAGTTTTTTACATTTTCAATAGCACACTGATCCAAAACTTGTTGCTATGCAACCAACTTTTGTTTCACAACCTCCATCTCCATCATCTTCAATAGTAAATCCCTAAAATTTTTGTTTGTTTCAATTCTTATTAAGATCGTATTTCTAGACAATGGAAACAAATAATTACTACAATCAATCATCATCGATGTCATCTATCTGTGCATATTGTGGCTTGATTCAATAATATTCGTTTTTTGATCAACCACTTTATCCAATGTTCAATTCATTAATGATGTATTATTCTTCATCAAATGACTTTCACTCATAAACTTAGTTTTTAGTTTTTTTTTGTTTCTATTTTTTTGATTTCAAACTAAATTTCTCAATAAAATTCTTATATTCACTAAATCTCAATGGGAATTTCAAATTCATTTTCATAAAGAGCGATTAACACATATGAAATTTGAAGAAAATAAAACGACATAAAAATTTGCTTATATCTTTCAATTTTGAAGAAGTAAGAAGCTAATGAAATAAATATAGCAATATTCATAAGTGTTTCTCTATGGTCTCTTTCTCTTATATCAAAAGGTCAATGCATATTCAATAAACAAATGTTTTACATGATTAAAAAAACGAACAGTGAAACATTCTCTTGTCATTGTATATGAGAACATGAACTGAGAATTTGTTCATCAAAAAACTAAGAAACTTCTATCTTCAGTAAAAATGCATATTTTCTTTTTTCGACATGCGCTTGAATATGATTCATTTCTACTGGACATACACAGAAACACATGTATGTTTTTCTTTCTTTTCCACTCTTATTCGAATGTACAAGTCGAGGTTGGATTGCACATAACATTCACTATTTTATAATCCATAACAATAGATATTAAATAACGATGATGATGATGTCAGCTCCGTCTTCATCGTTTCATGATGTGAGTGACTTTGTTTGAATACTTTTGATCATATATTTTTTAGTTTCTATTTACTTTAGTACTTAGCAATAGACCATTTCTTACCGAAATCTGAATCATTATCACCCATACAAACAAATGAAGATTATTATGATGAATCATTTGATAATATTAATAAGAATAACAAGAGAACTTCAACAGTAAAACGACCAATGAATGGATTTTTATTATGGGCTCGAGGTGAACGAAAACGAGTATCGAGTGATGGTTATGGTGTGAGTCAAACATCATTGAGTAAACTTTTAGGTGAAACATGGCGGTAAGAAAAAGCAATTAGAAGATAAATTGCCGCATAGAGAAAAAGAGAAATCACTTTTTTAGGCGAATGTCCGTCGAAGAGAAACAGCCATTTTTAGACATGGCTGAAACACTGAAAAGACAACATCATATTGATCATCCCGGCTATAGATTCAAACCAAAACAACGCTCGTCGACCGCTAATAGAACAAAAGCAAGAAAGCAATGTGTACCTGACTGTACGTACCAATTAGTCTGAAGTTATATGTATATATAGGTATATCGATTAGCATATATTTTCATTATCACTATCTTTAGCTCAACAACAATTGTCAACGATGAACTCTTCATCACATTATTCAACTTCATCTTCTCTTTTTTTTCAACAACAACAACAACAACAACAACAACAACAAACATCATCATTTACTTCTGATGCTACTCCTTATATTGTACAATCAACAGTTCTAGCCATGTGTCAAGCTATTGCTCCATCATCATCATCGTTATCGTCTGATAATAACAATGATTGGTTTTCAAAACTTATTGATCAACGTCAATCTGTTATTGTTGTTCGGCCTTCTCAGATGCAAACATCTCCAATTTTATCACGTCGAGCTGTACGTATACAAATTATAAATAAACATGATGATATTGCTATACCTCCACCACCATTATTACCAATGACACCTTCACCATTATCATCATCTTCAACTGTTCTCGATGAATCAACATCAACATTAATCGATTATCTTAGTAATACTTCTAATATGTTCAATATACCTAACAATCAACCAGATTTAATGCCCGTTATAGATGACATCATTGGTATGTTATTTATTCTTTTTTTGTAAATAAATTCAGATTGAACTAATATTTTTTATTTATAGGATATGAAACATTACAAGATTTAGCTAATAATCAATTAATGGACCTCGATCAACCTTATAATAATAGTGGTTGGATCGATACGCCTTTATCAAACTTTGCTACAAATTCTACGGATATAAACACAACACCACCATATTTATCTTATGATTTTTTGAGCCTTTAACTCTTACAAGATTTATTTTTTTTGCTTCATTCTCTAACGATCAAATTCTATATAGAGATATCAGATATATCTAGTATAGTATTTTTCTTCACTTCTATTTTTTTTTTTTTTGTTTCTTGTCTTATTCTTGTGTTAATACGAAAGTGAGCTTTATGCGCGTGCCATTCAACTTCTTTTTTTTTTCTTTCTTTCAACTTCCTTGTGTTCTTATTCATTTTTTTGTCTTATTTTTTTACTGTGTGTTGGTTCATGTATATGAGTGCTTGTTGTATAACAAAAGGTTTGAACGAATAACAATAGAAAACACTGGCACGTGCTCTTATAAAATGATTTTTTTTATTAATAAAGATATGGATGATTCTATGAAAAAAATAACAAACTTTTTTTTCTATATTAAAACATTATCTATTACATAGAAAAAATTCAAATAAACTTTATAATCATATTCAAATATGTATGTATCTGGCACTTTGATTACAAACTAAACGATATTTCTATAGAAAGTGTTGCATCGGTCACAGTATAACTGATGTTCTCTTCGTGAAAAATGTTCCACTATGTGTTATTATATTAATATTACATGATGACAAACCTATTAGAGAAATGGTATTAGCAATACTCAATTCAACAAGTCAAAACACGCAAGATAAGTCGGTTTCGATCGTACTGAGTTCGTCGGTTTTTATTTATACTGTACGATGCTTCTTTTTTGTCGTTTCATTGTTACTCCTATTTTAATCATTTGTAGATCGACAATGACATCTTATTTATCTCAATCGGTTGGTATTATTGATTTAATTTTGTCTGAACATAAATATATGTGTGATGAATATACGAATATTTTAAATCAGTGAAAGATCTAAACAAATTATATGCACGTATTCGTCAATGGCGATTGCATGTACAGCATTACATGGACATAAAGAAGAAATCTCATTTTATCCTAAAATTGAAAGTTATTTAAACGATGAGAAAAAAAAAAGGTGGACATCATTTAATAAAACATCGCATAGAAGAACATCGTGAACTTGAAGCTGAATTAAAAAAATTATCTGAACAATCAGCAATGGAATGGAAACAAGTATGTAAAGCAATTGATAAATTAAGTATGAAACAAAAAACAAGTTTTTTTTTTCTTTTTAAATACATTCTCTTTCATTTTTCTAGTACATCATTTAGATGAAGAAGAAACTGATATTCTTAAACCACTTTGTTCAAAACTTCACGATAAAATTCAACTTCAACTTACTGATGCAGGTCAATTAGCTTCGGATAAATCTCATCCGGAATTATCAAGAAAACCAGAACAAAACTCCACAAGAAAATATCAATATTGGACTTACAGAAAAACGTCAAGATCTTTTATTTTATTTTTTCGATAATTTATTTTTTTTTTCTTTACATAATAGATTTATAAAAAAAAACAAAAAAAAAGTACACAATCTTTTAACAAAGGTCATTAAGTAGAAGGATAATGATTGTTCATATAGTTGAAATTAGTAGTTGTATGTGGAACAAATGAAGTCGATGGATATGTCATATAGGATGAATCATATGGGATCAAACCATAATTTGTATTATAACGAGAAGTGTTATCATAATCAGTAGCTACCTGATGAGGAAATACTTGATAATATGAATTGTACATGTCTAAATTAAAGAGATAGAATAAATTATGACAAAAACTTCTTTTGTTTGAATTTCAAAAAGTTACTTGGATAAGAAAAATTTTCATTTGATTGCATTGTTGTACTTGAATAAATTCCATTTGTCATTGTATTATATTCATGATCACCTTCAATATTTGTCGATATTGATTCTGAATAATATGATAATGGAGGAAAATTTTCTTTTGAGCTACAACCACTTTCATCATTGTCATCATCATGATTATATTTTGTTGAATAAATTTGTTGAGATTGAAATGATGGAATAACAGATGACATACTTGTTGTCGATTCGTCAATAGATGATGAACATGGTGATGAAGTCATAGGTGGATGATGATGATCACTTTGTACACTTATATCATTAGCTGATGAAGATGATGGTGATGAAGATGATTTACTTGTATTTGGTGTTGAATATGGATGATAACGAGCATCTAAAATTAAAAATAAAATTAAAATCTAATTTTAATTCATTATTATTTTATCTTACTTTTAACTTTACGTTTTGGTTGATATCGATATTCAGGATAATCACGTTTATGTTGTTCCCGAATACGTTCAGCTTCTTCAATAAATGGTCGACGCTGTTCTTGTGGTAATGATCTAGATTGAATAGTAATAATTAAAGAAAAGAATTTATTAATCTATAACTTACTTCCATAATTTTCCTAATGTTTTACTTAATTGTGCATTATTAACAACAGATAAATTAGTTGTTAAATTTTTTCGAGCAGCTTGTGCCCAAACCATAAATGCATTCATCGGACGTTTAACATGAAGAGGTTTAACAGGTTTAGGTTGTTTTTGTTCTAATTCAGCCCAATTTAATTGACCCAAAGCTGATGTAACAATATTTGATAGAACAATATTCTGAAATAAAATAATTTTTGTATTTAAAGTTTTTCATAATCAATAAATTCAATCAAATTATTGTTTGTTTTCAACTTACCGAACTAGTATTCGGACTTCCTGATGATGACATTTTCGATCAAATGAATTCTTTTCCTTGTTTGACTACTTTTAAATTTGAATGTTCACTTACGAATGAATGAGATTACTTATTTGACGATGACGTTTAATAAATGAAGCCATTTCGCTATCTCTCTCTCTCATCTTTTTTTTTTCTTTTTCCATTGGGTTATGAATAAGGAAATAAACCAATAGAAATGAAATGCGAGAATTTGCTTCGTTCGTTGTAATCAAATCACACTTATCAATGATTGTTATGAATTTATTAAACCAATTAATGTAGTTTGACAATTGGTTTCGAACAATAATTCAGCAATAGAATAAAAATGTGATCTCACAAATTTGATTAAATTCAATGTGTAGATCATAGTTTTACTCAATTGAATAGAATTTTTAGTTTTGAAAATAAAAAATTCTTTTTCTATTATTCAAGATAAAAGAAAAGAATTATATTTTATTTTTAGCACACCATTGTAAATTTTTTAAATATTTCTGATCAATCATTGATAAATGAACATAGAAATGCCGACATTCATCAATCAGAATCCTGTGGTGATTGAAACAACGATCAAGTGCTAAATAGGCAATCTTTTAAATCTTGATATTCGTTTTCGAAAATGTTTAGTTTTTCGTTTTCACAGGAAAGATGACACCCAATCTAACCGTAACTAGAAAAACATTTGTTATATATGCATATATTTCACGTAAAAATAACAATATCATCATCACCCACCGACCGTGTTTTACGGTCAATATGAATGTATGTATAAATATATATAATATGTGACATTCGAGCTGATATATAACATGCTGTTTTACATAGATAAATATTACGCTTATCAATACAAAAAATAATATTAGACTAATAGCCACTTCTTCTCGTTGTTTTATGTTCTGATCTCTTGAATAGTATTTGAACAATTGAATGGATTGATATTTTTTCAAACGAAAAGAACTCCTGGGGTAGAAGTTTTTTTTTTCTTTCTAATTTCACAACACGAAGGAAGTGATCATTAAAGAGCAATTTGGAAAAAAAAATGAGTAGTGAGATGATATCAATAAAGATAAAACATTAGATAGGACACAACAAAAAAGTAAGAATAGATGTCAAGAGTATTTTTATTGTCAGAATGGATTTCGTTAGTGATTGAATGAATAAAAGAAATATGTATCTAATTAGTTTAAAAAGGCTTATCTTTATCTTTGGATGATGGTAATGATGTGGTGATTTTTGGTAAGACATAGTAATGAAAAAAAAAAAAGATTGAAACAAAGTTTTATTTGAAATCTTACCTTTAATATTTTTTTCAATACATAATCTACTGTTGATTTTTATTTTTATTTTTGAAATATGTTTGAAAATGTGTGAATTTAAATAGGATTTGATTCTTTGTCTTAGATTGAGGTCTGTCTATGTATATATTATTCTCTGAACGATAACTATAGAATGAATGAACTAAGAGAACAGGAATTGATAAGAAGTATTGATGAAGATGTAGAGAATACGAGTGGACAATGATCGATGAGTAAATGTATATTCTATACATCTTTTAGTTAGGTATACTATAAACTAGGCTTCTTTTCTTTGCCATTTTTTGTTGTTGTTATGTTTATTTTATAGACAGATAAGACATGTCTGGTTTTTTCAGAATATGTGTAACTGACAGAGAACGAATTATATGATGATCAATCATCAAATGAAGAATGTGTTCGTGTTTGAATGCGAGTGTTTTGTACTTGATGAGGTTAAAAGTAGAGCCTAAAAGATCAGTATTAATTGAACCATTTTTATATTGTTTTTATCTTTCATCAATATCGAAAAAATAATAATATTTTGTTTTAAGCCATGAAGTAATCTTTTCTTAACAGAATAATTTTGTAATCCTTTTTTCACTGGAAGTCAAATAGATCTTTTTTTTTTCTTTGGTATTATGTTAAATTAGTGGCGTAACCAGAAAATCATCGATGGGGGCAAAACCCCATTTTTCGAGGCGGTGCCTCATTGTTTTCAAAGACTCTCTGTATATTTATTTAGTACTTTTCCTCATCGGTGGAGGGAGGGGGGAGGGGTACAAAAACCTCGGATAGAAGGGTGCCGCCCCGTAGATACGCCACTATGTCAAATACATGTTTTTTGATATGTAAGACACAGATGGCGTTGGTTTGTTATAGATATTTTGAATTTGACATAACTTATAATTGAAATGAATATGTTTGAAAGAATGAAAATCTTCTTTTCGATAGATTTCAATGATAAAGTCTTATATATTCTCTTGAAATTTGAGAAAAAAAATATGGTAAGCTTTTGGCATCTTGCCAATGAGAATGTAGTTAAGAAATAACTTGACGAAAAAGTAAGGTCTTATCATTAAGGATAAAGTAATGTCAGTAACAACCGTAACAACAAATGCTGCTGTTCAAATGCCTCGTTTAATCTATGGCACAGCTTGGAAAAAAGAAGCAACAACACAACTTGTTATTAAAGCTATTTTGAATGGATTTCGTGGTATTGATACAGCATGTCAACCAAAACATTATAGGTATATAATTAATGTCTTTTTAAAATAGAACAAAAAAAAAATCGATTCTTTTTTTTTGTTTTTTTTTATTATTATTTTTAGTGAAGATCTTGTTGGTTTAGCTCTTGTTGAACTTCAAAATAAATATAATATATCTCGACAAGATTTATTTATTCAAACAAAATTTACTAGTATTCACGGACAAGATCAATCAAAACCTTTGCCTTATAATCCTCATTCACCATTAGCTGAACAAGTTCAACAATCATTAGCAACTTCACTTAAAAATTTACATACTAATTATATTGATTCATTAGTTCTTCATAGTCCATTACAATCACATGATTTAACAATGGAAGTATATCGTGAATTTGAAAATTTTGTTGATAATGGTCTAGTTAGACAATTAGGTATTAGTAATTTATATGATTTAAATGGTTTAAAAAGATTGTATGATGATGCTCGACATAAACCTTCAGTTATACAAAATCGTTTTTATGCTGATACAAATTTTGATAGTGACATAAGACGATTTTGTCGTGAAAAAAATATCTATTATCAAAGTTTTTGGACGTTAACAGGTACGAGAGAAAAAGAAAAGAATAATTAGAATCAATTTAATTGATAAGAATTTTTTAGCTAATCCACGAATTCTTGGACATCCACTAGTACAACAGCTTGCACAAGAACGTCATGGTACACCAGTTCAAGTATTCTTTCGATTTTTATTGGATATCGGTTTGACACCATTAACTGGTACTACCGATGAAAGACATATGAAAGAAGATTTACAAGTTCTTCAATGGCCTTCACTTGATAATGATTCAATCGCAAAACTTAAAAGACTTATTCATGATTAAAGATATTTTTTTGTTTTTCTTTGTTCATTTAGTCAAGCTATAGAGTTTAATGTATATATTTTTATATTTATTTAATATACTCGCATCCAAAATGATACAAAAAAAAAAGATCTTTGTTTCAGAAATTATAAATATAACAATAAACAAAGAACAACAATTGTCGAAAAACAAATACGACTGTTTTTTCGAATAAAATTTCATGATTATAATGCATACATAGTATGAAATAATTGACCGATTTAATTCTTATTGAAGTTAAAACATAGCAATGACACAGTTGTTATTACGTAATATAGATATATTTTGAATAACCACTAATATAATGAAAAGAGAAAGCAATAAATAAAAACTAATCTAATAGACTAATATTATACATACTAATTGTTTGAATAAAACATTTTGGTATTTTTCTTCAAGTCAGCATAAGTTTATTTGAGGAAGTCCAAATTAACACATATTGTGTATTATTGTTGAATTTATATTCAACCATTGGGCTTATCAGGTGGTTTAGTAACACTTCCTGAACTGCCATCGGTACCATTAGTAACATTAACAACCTCATAGGGTTTAGCCATGAGTGGAGTAAGATCAGCTTTATTGAAAATTTTAGTATTCATTAATTGTTGAGTAGTAACAAGTTTTGTACGATACATTTCCATAGATTTGTGAACTGTTTCAGTGAACAAGTTAAAAGCTTGATGAACCATATTAAATGTTAAATGTGTAACGGAAATCGGCTGTTGATGCACGATGAAAAATAAAGTTGTAGACGATAGAGAAAGTATATGAAGTATATGAAGTATATGAAGTGGATAGAGTAAAAATGAAAGCAAACAGAATGAAACATTACTATTTATGCGAGGAGACGCGGTTACTATTGCGTTGCGTAAGAACACGAAGACGTATGACGCGCACGTGTACTTGCGCAATTATAAATAAAACAAGAGAGTAAAAATGATTACTTGGCATTATCCCAATATGGGCAGATGATGTTGCCAAAAAGACGTGTCTTGTGAGTCACTTTTGTGAAGACAACACGTAGAAATGAAGTCAGACACTCCCACTCATGATTTGTCGACTCATAGTGAGTGAAGAATGTGGGAGGCAACCTTGTACAACTACAAGAACAAAATTAATGGAATGTGAAAGTGATAAAAGTTATTACTCATATTGACTCCATATAACGTCAATGAAAAAAAAAAAAGTATTCTTCTTCTTTTTTTCTCTCTCTACGTATGACTTTGAAAACAAAAGGCTTAACTGATTGAATTTCCAAAATGAATGACGCAATAAATTTATGTCGTAATAGATTTGAGTCATTTGGAGAAAACATGATTTTTCAATAAAATAGACACAAGAAAAACATTTTAGAAAAAAAGAAAAGAATTCTTATTTTAGCTAGTATGCCGATGTTACTCACATCTACAGAAAACATTGTTACTAAAGAAAAAAAGATTTTTTCAATCGAGAGTATACATATTACTTTTTTATCTTTCATCTGATCTATACTATGTCAACTTTTTGAATGACATCATTGAAATGTCGCATGTGAATCCGAGATGGTATACCAAAGACTAGAGTCATGAGCATAAAATACTTCAGCGCACAATATCAGTGAATGACGCGCATACTAAATAGTCATGATTCACATGGAGAAACGAATAGAAGAACTAAATGTATACTTCACAAGAATAAACATTATTTTATCGAAAAACGACAGTAAATGCAAGAATTCAATGCTAATAGCATTCAAAAAAAAACAAAGAAAGTAATGACGGTAAATTTTTCAATGCTAAAATCTATATAAAATTTTACCCCCATGTTTCTGAGAAGGCTTGTGGATAATGGGAGTAAAATTTCATATAAATTTTAACATCAAAAAGTTTACCGCCATTATCTGCATACCTTCTCAGAGACGCGGGAAGATAAAATTTGCGTATAAGATGTCTTCTGTAGTAAATATATTTTAATTCTAGTACGTCGAGGTGCGCAAATTTTTTTTTTTTTTGAAAATAACGGATGCTAATGCTATTAGCATGGAAATCCCGTATTAACTCAAAGAAGTATATTAGAGTAATAGCAAATGTATTGATAGAAATCTATAATATAAACTCTCGTACTCTGTATGTCTCCAACATCTTCATGAATGTAGACGTTATAAAGATCTTTTTTTTTCATTATATCTAGAAACATATTCTTGAACTTTTTGTGTTACACAATGTTTGTGGAAGTGGCTGAATTATTTTTTTTTCTTTTCCAAAATGGATATTTTACTCTGTATTTTATCATAGCGAAAGCAAATTATTAGACTCTAGTTCATAATCGAACAACAGGAGACGATGCGTATAAGAATAGCTTGATCCATTCTATTATTACTAAATAATGAAAAGAAAAAGAAACATTTACACATTTAAATCTCTCTAAAAAGAACTTTCATATCTTTCATAAATGTTTATAAAACAAATAAATTTCTTCTCACAACTTTGTATGAAATTATGTATTTTTTTTCAATCGATATGATTTATATCGGAAGATTTTCGTTTTTCAAATTATATGAAAATACTTTCATCTAATGAATTCTTCATTGTTATATTCAAATATTAAATCATTTATGGCATGTATGGTACAGATGACGTTTATTTTCATTATACCTGATATCGTTTTTCACATGTGAGAATGTATTCGAACACTTATTCTTCATTTTATTATATTTCTCGATATGAAATGATGATGTACACATATTGCTAGAAAAATTTCATTATTCTGATGAAAGTAAAACAGACGAATAGATTACTTATATATATATATATGTACTAATTCTATTGTTTTCAGCTTGCAAATTAGGAGATTATGACTAGATTCCATATCAATCACAACAATTATGAAAGAGAAACAATTATCAAGAATATGTTGTACGTGTATAATAAAACAAGAAATTGAAATTGAAAGAAAAATTGATGAAATGTGTACTAGTTCATACAAGAAGTCATTAATCCTATTCAATTGTGTTAGAACCTATGATACATAATGTTAATATGTACTTTGTAAATGACATCTATGAAAAGAGAACAGTAACATTACTTTGTACCAATAAAACGAACTAATGCCATCAAAATAAAGACATGTTCGATGAGGTATTATTCGCAACAAAACAATCAGGGAGGGTGTGACATCTACTTGCGGTCAGCTAGTTTATTCTGACTGAAACGAGTCGGAAAAACCCTTGTGTATTGAAAACAAAGCAAAGACATCTACGTGAAAATGAAAAAATAAAGCTTATCATCAATCCAAAGTTCAACAAAGATCAAATAAGAACGAAAAAAAAACCTCTTTCTGTTCTTCGTTCTTTCTATGATTTTAAAACATTTTATATTTCTGCGCAATAATTACTTTCTTCGAAATGAATATATACAGTCTTAAACTTGTCGCGGAAAATTTATAAGAATAAGCATATATCGTGGAATTTTTGAAGAACCTCATATATTTTTCTAAGAAACCATGACAAAAAGAATTTAGGAAAAAAACAATAGGCATTATTTTCGATACTGATATTGCAAAGGTACTTGCTGATATACCCGAAATTCGTATATTGAGTGATCACGAGATTACTTTTATAAAGAAAAATGATCGATTTTGTACTCAAAACTATGTATAATTTTCTAATTATATCGATTGACAAATGTTTGAATGACATAGTTGTAATGATGCATGTAAAATATTGTAATAACGACAGTCAAATTAAAAAATAGATACTTGATATTGGTGATACTAGTCATTCACGAAACAGCCAAAAACAACCCTAATTTTCATAATAAAACTATTTACACACTCGTTAGAGAAGAAATAATATTTTCAATAGAACTAAAAACTGCCAAATCAATCAAAAAGCTAGATGAAAAAACTTAAATTGAATTTGAATAAAAAAGAAGAAATAAAATGTTTTGGATGATTAATGACATCTTTGGAAAAAATATACATTACTACGAAGATAAAACTATTCATTTTGAGGATTTCATTGCCGATAGAACTAGACAATGATTGAATTTTATTTCGCCATTTTAGCGGACTTCATAAAACTATTATTTATTTGATTAGACCTTAAATTATTGTGTACGATAATGATTTACCAAGCAGAAGCATGCGTTCAGTTTGTCACCCATTTTTAGTTTTCGAATGTGTATTCAAGCATGAAACATAATTTTTAACTGTATAGGTAGATGCTTCACACAGTCAGTATAACTTTGTCATAAAAATAGGTGTCCGTTTTCTTCGTCAAAGATGAGTAGCTACAATAACTCTTCGAGCATGCCCAATCAAAGTTCAGCAACACCTCCGCTACTTCGAATGTTTCATCCTACATCTGGTCGTGAGGGTTTTAATGAAGTAACAAACCAAATGGCTTTTCCATCACAAGGTTCTATCGATCCGAGACTTGCAATGATGATTAATATGCAAACACAACAAGCCATTGGTGCTTCTGGTATGCCTTCTGGCGTTATAGGCCAAGGTTTTATGAATTATTATCCTTCACCATACACTTATGGTACTCCACAACCATATGGATTCTTTCTAAGAAGATAATAAAATCAGTCAACGTTTTTTTAACCATGAAAGTATTACGAAAATCTGAACTTTTTATCAATTTGACTTTCCAATAATTTTAATCAGTAAAACAAATCGGAAAAAATAAAAACACAACAAAATCGTAGTCTAATGAATTCTAGTTATTTTTTTCGATTCTAATTTTTGTGTCCATACATATTTTTAATGACATCAACAATTCGAATCAATAGATTTCATTCAACAAAGAAAAAGTGTAACCAAAAGTTCCCTTTATGACACATTTGTATAAACATTCATCGACAAATCGTTCAGTTGTATCGACGAATGTCTAATATAATCTTGCACTATTTTGAAGATTGTTTTTTTTTTGTTAATAAGACAATATATAAAGATGAACTTGATGGTGTCTGGAAAAATCACTGATCACAATTTGTACATCGGATATTATAGCTTTCTGCTTTTTTTCTCATTCATTCTCCATAGATGTAAACTCGTAAGAATCATTGTTTATATGTACGCTTTCTCCGTACACACATTTAAAACTAAAGAGGTTTCGAATATTCGTATTCTATTAGATTTATAAAGATACAACACGCGCAAAAACGAAGGAAAAATCTTGATTTCAAATGCTCATGACGGCATTTTGTTTTATACCAACGTATAAATCTGATTGAGTGACAACAAGATTTATCAAAGAAACCATTAACAAATGACGATCGAATTGTTACTAATACCAAATTGTATACTGATTTATTTATTTATTGAATAAAAATTGAATAAAACATGCAAAGAGTTATTTGAACATGGTATTAAACTATAGTTTAAAAAAAACTTCACTATGTGCAAGATGAAAACGTTAATGAAACTCAACAACTCACTATAATTGTATTGGTATATGACGCACTCTCACCGGGCATACCATAACATTGATAATAAAGGTGTGGATATGACGTTGACTGTTACAGTCACAGTTACTTGTTGGTGTATTTCATCAAAAAACGACTATATATATACCACAGTTTTAGAAAATTGAGTTGATTTGACAAAATATTATCATAGGAAAAAAGTACTTTTGATCACCACAACTCTTTAGATACTTTTGATCACCAAAAAACTTAAACACTTTTGATCACCAGAAAACAATACTTTTGATCACTATTTTTTCATTTCTATTTTCATGATTTCTTATTTGATGTAAATAAACGATAAAAGTGTAAATCTGTAAGTTCTGTTTTATGTGCTTAAAGTGAGTTCGATTTATTCCGTACAAACTTGACACGATGTATATCAGAAAACGCTTGGAAACAAACAAAGAACACGAAAAGAACGAGAAGAGAGGACGAAAAATACATCTGACTATATAGATGATGATATCGATCTATATATAATAAACATATTGTATAAATCCAAGTAGAAAATAAAGAAGTAGAAGGAGAAATTCAATATCGAGAATAAGATGAATACTTGGAAAATTCCAACATAGCAATTAGGAATTTTCCAACATAGCGATAGGGAAAATTCCTATATTAACAAAAAGT